AAATCAGTAATCATCTACTATAACGAATAATTCGTTAACGCTATAACGAATTATTCGTTATATATACCGCATAATTCATTATAGCGTTAACGAAAATTCTTATAACGAAGTCCTGATCGGCTGGATCAGCAACTTCGTTATATCGAGGTGTGACTGTAATTTAAATTATATGATAAAAATAGTTTAATAATAATATTATTAAGTTTTTTTTAACTTTTATAATCATTAGATTTAAATTTAATAAAATAATTATGAAATGATTTTGATAAATAAATAGAAATAAAATGTATTAATAAATATATTATAAAAATTTAAAATAAAACTTTTAATTAAGAATATATTAAAGTTAATAAATAGAGATATAAATTTATATTTAATAAATGTATCTGGATTATGTAATAAATCTATTTATCACTGGTATCACACTTCTCCTTTGTCTTTTAGTTTTTACTATTTATTTCAGTGACGAATTTTTCGATAAAAATTCTTATTTATCACTCATTATCTATCATATAATTATTACATAGGTAATTTCTTAATTTTTTAATATTGAAAAAAGTCATATAACATTTGGGTATGTGATTAACTATGTAAATTAAAAGTATATCAAGTTACCTAATCTTTTATATAATTAATATTTTAGAGTCTAAATTTGATCAATAAATTTTCATAATAAATTACTATAAAAAACAGCCTATTTTTTTAGATGCATAGATAGAATAATCTCTTTTTTCTCAAATTTTTTCATACTTATTAGTTTTATCAAAACATATTAATAAAGTTATAAAGCTTTTATTAGTAAATTACTTTGCAATTTGAATTTTAAGTAGTTTTTTTATTTTAAGGTTTGATTTTTTTTAGGAATTTTATTATTAATACAAAAAATGGTCTTGTAACTTTCTTAATGAAGTCATATTCTTTATCTTAATATGCTTTTTTTTCTTAAAACACAAAATTGTTAAAGTTATACATCTAATTAAATTCAAAATAGATATTTATAAATCATATAAACGTTACTTTCAATTAAAGAAATATAATAAAATTTGATTAGAAAAGCAATAACAAAATAATTTAATAAAGAAATTACTAAATATTTGGCTGAAATAGACGAAGCTCAGCTTCAATTTATTTTAAATATACAGTAATTATAAGTAAATCAACATATTAACAAGCTAATTTAAATAATTTATTTACTACTATTGAACAATTATTTAATATACAACTTTCATCAGTTATTTATCTGATTTTAATAATGTGCTATTCTAGAGGGATTAATAAAGAAAATATTTATTTATCTTATTTACAAAAAAAGGCTAATGAATATTTTAATCAAACTCTTTATAAATGTCAAGTCACAAATCAAAAATTATAAAAATCTAATACAAAATTTGAAATTAATTGTAAAAAACTTCATCAGCAAAATAAAACCTTAATTAAAAAACATAATATTTTGGAATATAAAATATGTATCTTCACCATCAAAATGCAAATTGTATATCTAAAATCTGATCATTAGCTTAAAAATCAAGACAAATTACAAATATAGTATTTAAAAAGTAATTAAAGGATATTTTTAAAAATAAATAAGTAAGAATATTTATCTAATACTATTTGACTTACAATAAGTATTTCATAAGTTGGTAAAATATTCTTACATTCTATAACAGAATACATTTATAATTTTTAAATTGATAAACCCCTACAAAAATGATTAGTAATATCAACATTACATATTTAATATCAAAACATTTCTAAATTATATATAAATGCTCAAATTCAATAAATAATTACTACTTCATCATTTGGAATATTAGCCAATGAATCAATTCAAGGAATTTTGTTTTATGTTATCAATATAGTCAACTCTTATTATAAAGAACTCTATGTTCTAGATCTCAACTTTACTATAAGGTTATAGTAAAGATTTTAAGAGATTTGATTGGCTAATTTACTATAATAAAAGTATTTTTATTATATTTGTTCAGAAAATTCGTTATATTAAGAGTTCGCTATAATAAAAGTTGATTGTATTGAAATTATAAAGATCAAGTACTAGTTATACCTATAATTCATCTTGAAAATATTTTTAATTATAATACAAATACTGTATAAAATACTATCATAAAGTATATTAGCCAAGATGACTTAAGCTTTATCAAATGTATATTATGGGTAACAAATAATACCTCCTATATGTCAAAAGAAAAAAATGGTGCAATCATTCTTTTTAATGAAAAAACTAGTTCAAATTCAATTAGAATTAGTTGTGGCTTTCATATTATTCAAATTATACTTACTAATTTTGAATAAAAAGCATTTAGAACAATTTCAAATAACACTGTTTTTTAAGAAACTATACATATACAATCTTTTATACCTAGCATGAAAGCTATATAATATTTATAATTCAAGTGATAAGAACAAACTAATTAATATAAATGCTCAGATTATTCAAGTTTTTTATAATAGATTACTAGAATTCCATTATGATCAATATTAATTATCTCTTCATTCTTGTTAGGGGTATAAATTGCAAACAGTCAAACAATATCTTAATTAATATTTTGCATATATTGAATTTGCAAATTAGTTTATTGAAAGATTAGAAAATCATAAAAATTCACCTAAAGCTTATCTTAATGATTAGTGACTTTTTCAATCTTAGCTTATTAATCTAAAACTAAATATTCAAATTAAATGTTTAATTAATTTAGCTAAACACTTTTACAAGTCTCTAATGCAGTATATAGTAAGACAGAATACTATTTCATGAATATCTCAAGATAGACAATTAATTGCATTACCTTTAGGCTGCTGAATTCATGAAATACTAGACAAAATTTTTGAATAACACATATTTTTCCAAAACCTTATCAGCGACTTTGATTTATTTTTTTCTGATCAGCTTTTAGAGGCTGTGAATTTGTTATCTGATGAAAAATTTGAAGCTCTTTTTGACAAGTTAGAACTTAGAATTAAAAGTGCTTTAGAATCTTTTCAAAAATAGTTTTCATAATAGTTACATTTACTATTGACAATTTGTCAACTTGGTGGAGATAATGTACAATCATTTACATTTAGTTTTTATTATGTGATTTTTGAAAAGCCTTGGATTTCTTTACCTTCTGAATTGGAATTGTGATTTACTCAGAATTTGGAAGATAACAAAAATAACAGATTTATAAATGATTTTGGTTTGAGTGAATTACTATGTTAAAATAACAATTTTCTTGAAGAATTTATACAATTATGCATTTGTGATGATCTAAAGTTGTATTATTTTCCCAACCTTTATGATTTTGTCAAAAGCAAAATCTATTACATTTTTATCTACCAGTAATAAGTTGAAGGTCTCTTCAACAAACTGGATTTGAAAACATATGAAAATATAACATTTGAAATGAAACAGTCAAAGTTTTGTTTGTCATCAAATAAAATTTCAAAAGAAAATTTGGACAATTTAAAGGAAGTGCAAAAACAAAGAAATGAGTCAAGAAGACCACTTCAAGAAATACAGCTTCAGCCATTTGGGCCATATATCACTTCAAAGCTTTTTAAACAAATACTTTATTAAATTAAAAATATTTGATATAAAATTGTAAAAATTAATTGACATTAATGTTAATTCATTATTTGTATATTTTTGCGTTAATAAATGCATTATTATATTATTGTAATAGTAAAAATTTAATTTATTATTATTATTATAAAAAAATATAACTTGACATAGTTTTGATTTATATAGTTAATCACGCACCCCAATGTAACGTGATCCGTATACAACACCCGTGTACAAATAGAAATTGCCATTTTTTAATGTACCTAATGTTTCTATTATATTTGATTTAATTTAGTTATATAATTTTAAAACTGATAACATCAACTACAAATAATAAAAAATGATGGAATAATCTAAAATTAAGAATTGCGATTTCATTGAGTAATGATCACGTGAAACGACGTGACCAGAATTTATATTATGTCATGTATTCCTTCTGAAGCTTGGATTTTTTATTTGTTTCAAGTCAATAATTTGTAATCTGAAAGATATTCCAATTGTCACCATTTTCCAATTACAGTTAAAGTTCTCATACCCATAGATCTATCAATACTATTGATTATAGGCAAACTAAACTTTACAATTAACAATTTTAATATATGTATCACTGCAAAAATAGTTCTTTGCTTCAACGCGTATTCCAATTTACCTCCAATTACTTTTCTAAATGAAATTTCACATTCACCCAGAAAACTTAAAATTATATAATAGTATAAGAAAATTTTTCTTTAGTCCTTCCTTCAATTAGGTAAATCCCATTATAAAAACACCAGCTTACAAAAATAAAACATGAATATGAATAAGATTTTATTGACACTGACCAGTCAGACATAAAAGAATTTTTTTGAAAGATATAATCATCGTCTGTGACTGGCGTAATTTTAACCAGGTAGAGATATTGATCCACAGCCAATCCTTACAAAGTTTATGAAATTTGTCTCATCGATCGACTTCAATATGGTAAGTATCAGTCATCCAAAAAATTGTGTCACCAAGAAAATTCCAAATCAATTGTTTCGAAGTCAAAATATGCAAACTCAGGAAGGTTGGAGTATTTGGAAAACCATTATACAATAGTTTTTGTTTTTATACTGCAATATAATCTGATGCTTTCCCGAGGCCTGTCATCAAATGAATAAAAAATAAATGAAATGGAAGAGTGAAAGTAAATTTTTATTTTTTTACGCAATTTGCTCATTACCTTTTACTTCTCGAAATTCACTAATTTATTCTGTAAATATATGACCTGGTTCATCCAATCTGTCTCCTTTTTTTCCAACCTTTCCTTTTCCTTCTCCAACTTGACTATCCATCTTTCCCACCTTTTCTTTTGCTCTTCGTTCCTCTCTTTTCCATCATTTAACTTATTCTCCAACTCCCATATCTTACCATATTTCCACCCCTCTTCGAACTGTTTCAATTGAGTTTCTACCTCATTTAATTTTACAAGCGCAAGATTTACTTGGTTTTCTATTTTTTCCAAAGTAATCATAATGTAAAAAAAATTTTTTTTAAATTATTGATTCAGATACAAATTATGCATAATGACCAATGATGAATTAATGGACACATGACTTGGAATTAACCGACAAAAAGATTATATAATTACAGAATTATCCGTGGGGATGAAAAAAATACTTGGAACATTTATTTCAAATAATTTCACCAATTAAAGAAAAACTAATTCAAGGAGAAGATAAAGTATTAGATATTGCGTAAGTGAAGAATCAAAATACAACTTAAAAATTTTCTTGTGTGTAATTTTCAACGTTTTCTTTTTTTCTTTACATTAAAAATTTATTAAATTTATAAAACCACGAAATTTAAATTTGATTTTGTACAATCAAGATTCAATATGTTTTATTCGATTTTATTAAATTTTCTCCGAGTAACTAAACCGGGTGGATATTTGAATTAAATGTAAGGCCCGTAAGATAAAACCCTCCTTTTTTTTAAATTTAAATAGTTCGTAAATAAAACAGAATGTGGATGTCTTAAACACAACCAAACATAAAAGTTCATCAGGAAACCATTGGCGGCATAGTAGTACCGATTTGTCAACTGAAATGGAAATAGGAATTTCTCAAGAAGAATTTAAAATATGATTGGAACGGGTCTCAAAAAAGACTTTGAAGTATCTAAACCCCTAACATATTATATTTAGATTATGGACAAAAAAAAAAAAAAAAGAAATTGAATTAATTAACATGTTAATAGTTTTAACATTTACTCTATCTTTATTCTCATATTTCAATGTAAATGCAACATTATCAAAAAAACCAATACAAAATGCTGCTCATGAACATAAATTTTTTTGATTATATTAATATCTTATCTACTAAATTGAACCGGGAGTAATTTATCTCAAGTATCGATCAGAAAATGGCATTAGGCGAAAACTATTTGCTATTATTATTGCAAAGAGTGGGAAATTATTCCAAGCTAAAAAGCAAAACTCCAAAATTTGAGCAAGGATGGAATTAAATTCCATTTTATTTAACAGAATTATATTTTATAAATTTATTCTGGAGGCTTGTTCGTTTTTTAAAAATTTCAATATTTGCTTAATTAAATTTTATTACCTAACATTATTTTTAAATGCGGAGCAGCTGCGCCACGAATAACCAACAAGAGTGGTATGTTTTATTTTATTTAATCATTACAATAAGAGAAAGAATATAAAATACATTATACAATCTTTGATTCTCAAATCATTTAGTTCTATCCCCAATTTTGTCAACACGTCAATCCTAAGGAATTCAAGTAACTCTTAAATTATTATTCCCTTATCATCCAATTTTAATCTATCGATATGTTTAAAATACTTGTAGGTTTATGTTCAATTGCAATTTAGTATATATTAGTGGGTTTGTATAAGAAAGAAGAGAATAGAAGACGAAGAAAAAGAGAAATAATTTGCATTTATAATAAAGTTTGTATAATTTTTTTTTGATTTATTTATGAATTTAAATAGGATTATAACAAATAATAATATATAGTTATAATTTGTTTGAAAATATATTTTGATAATGAAGTAAAAAGTTTCTAACGCAAATTAATGATTTTATTATAAAGTTTCTATTTAAAAAGTTACTAATGATAAAAAACAATTAGATTATAAGAGGATAAAAATTATAATTATATAAAACTAAGATTATAATATTATAAAGAAAGGATTAGAGATATGTCAAAATTTAGAATAATATATTTTTTTTTTACTAATAAATATATTAAAATCACCTATTAAAGGATATAAAAAATTAGAATGATAACTTTTTACTAATATTCTATTAATTTTTCTTAAACTTTAATCTGATATTTAAAGGTTTGCATATAAATTATTATAAATAATAAAATTAAAATATCTTAATAATTTTAATTGAATAAAAAAAAATATTTAAAAGACATATTATTTGAAAATTTTATTTTAATAGTATTAAAAAAAAAATGAACAATAAAATTAAAGCTTTATTTTTATTTAAAAAAAAATTTGTTTATTTATTAATTTATATTTAAATCAATATAATCAATATAATAAAATTTTAAAAATTTAAATTAAATTAATTTTGATTATTTTAAATTACTAATTAAATCTTTAAATTTTTAAAATAGAAAATTTGAATTGTTTTTTTGTTATTTAAAAATTGAATAAATAAAAGCTTTTATTATTTATTATAGAAATAATATAATAATAATTAAAATTATAAGTATATTTAAAATATCATTAATAAAATTCAAAAACAAATATTAATTTTTATTTTATTTTACTATTACTTATATAATTTAATATTTTAATTTACAATTTATTTAATTTTTTAAGATAAATATATTTTATCTATTTTATAATTTAATTTTAAAATTAAAATTTTCTAATCTTATTATAATTTAATTTATTATAATCTGATAGAAATTTTAAGAAAAAAAATTTAGATTTCAATTAATCTAATTAAATAAATTATATAAAAAGTATTAATTTTAGTTAAAGTTTTGTAAAAAAGTTTTTAAAATTTAAGTAATTTCAAGTAATAGTTTAATTCAAAGATTAATAATTACGAAAAATTATTTAATAGTCAAAAATATTTAATATTTTTAAAAATAGATGGTAAAGTAAATATATATAATCTATTTTTTTCTTTATTAATTAATAGTATTATTTTTATGATTTTTCAAATTTATTATTTTTTTATAATATAAAAATTAAATATTATTATAAAATAATAAAATAAAAAAATTTAATATAGAAATTAAAATATTTCTAATAAAATTACTTATTAAAATTAAAGGTAACTTTGCAACTAATTATAATTAATAATAAATAAGCATCATAAGTTATACCTTTATTTTTAATTTGAAATTATTTTAGATTTAATAAAATGCTTAAATCTTTAATTTTATTAATTTTTATTAAAATTTTAATATAATTTACCATTTTATAAAATTTGATAATAGTTTTATTTTTTTTTAAATTTTATAGATTTTTTTAAATAAAATTTTACTTTTTTTCATTTAAATAACTTATAAAATATCTAGATTTTATTCAATAATCTTAATTTTAATATTTATTAAAGTAATTAATTTTATTAAAAAATAAAATAATTTATTAAAATAAAATATAATAGAAATAAAATATAATATCAAAAATCTGTATAAAAAATATTAAAGTAATTAATATAATATATATAAATATATAAATTAGATTTTTTTTCTAAGTTATTATTTTATTGTATAATGATTTTGCATTAAATTAAAGATTTAAACTAAAAATAAATACTTATAAAATTGAATAGGTTAATTTATTCCTAAAATTATTTTTATTATTTTATATAATATTAAGACAATAATATATATTATCTAATATTTTAGAAATAAAAATAATAAAGGATTTTAGATTATATATATTAATATTAATTATGTGATATTAGTGGTTTAGATAAAAAATATAAAAAAAAAATAGGTAATTATATATGACCATTTTTTATTTGTTATATATTCTTTTAAACTCATTTTATTAAAAAAAGATCATTTATTTTGATAAAAAAGAAGAAAATTTTGTTTTTAAATTTTTTTTTAAGTTATTTACAGCTGGTAAAATTTATAATTTCTTTTATGATTTGTCAAATATGTAAGAATTGAAGTACTTATTGTATATAAAATAATATAAATGTGAATAAGTTATTTGATCAATGAATAGGTAATACAAATTATATTCAAGAATTTTTAAGAGATCATAATATTTAAGAAGATATATAAGATTAGTAAAATACCTAACTTTAACTTTTATAATTGAAGGCAAAAAATCATTATTCAAGAGAAAGAAATCTATAATTTTTTTACAGTCTACCCTTAATATAATGAAATAATCATTCTATATTTTAACTTTATTATAGCAAATTAGTTAAGAATTTGAAGGATTTGATTAGTTACTTTATTATAAAGAGAAAATTTTGATATATTTAATTGGTCAAGCATTACATGATTCACTATATCAAAGTTCACTATATCAAAAATAGACTATATACAATAAGGTTTAAAATAACTTGTATTTATATAATATTTAATATTAAGAGAATATTTATATAAGTTGAAATGATTTTTGATCTATAATTATAGTATAAGATATTTCAATGAGTTATTTTCATTTTCATATTCTTTTTTGTTGTTTTTGTTTTTTTGTTTTTTTCTTTATCTGTATCTTAAAACTAATATAGATACTAAAACCTATATATGCTAAAATATATATAGATTTAGTAATAGTCAAAACCTAAATTTAAAATTAATCATCTATATGTTAAAATCTTAAACCTAAAACTGATGTTGAAATTTGAAACTTGTACTGAAAGTTAAAATTCGTGATAAAATTCAAAATTAGTGTTAAAATACCAAAACTCTAAAATTTTTTAATATATTTATTTTGTAATTTATTTATTATACAGTTTATAAAAACTATTTACAAAATGTGAATTTTTTGTATATAGCGCAATAAGCATTTGACTTGAATTTCATACATTGACTATATATAGTTAAACTTAAAATTAAAGTTTAAACTCATGATCAATTAAATTTTTTGATATGTTACTTAATATTTATTTAGTATAGATAATCAGATGATTCTATACAAAGATAAAATCAGAAATGTAACATATTTTTTAAATTCTTTTTTTTAGAAAACTATTCTTTGTATGCTTATTATTTAATAAAAGTAATATTAGATGAAGTTATTGAACTAAAAAAAAATAGAAGATCACATGTTATAATATAGAATTTTTTTACAAAAAATCTAAATCAAAGTAATAGTTATCATTTTGCAATTTATTTTACTATTCAACAACATGATTATAAGAGAAAGTATTAATATTAGAATGTCATATCTTAATTGATTGCAATAAAATTAATTCAAAAATTAAGAAAGCAGTAAGATATATTATAATAGTATGTAAAAAGTTTTTAGAAAATGTAACCAGAAAGAAATGAAATGCAAATAAGTAAAAAAAC